AAAATCACGTGTTGGTTGCGAGAAATCGGCGGAAGAATAACTGAAAGTGAAGACAGTACAGGTTTGGCTTATAGTAAACGGCGAGTAAATAAATATTGTGAGTTAAAAAATAAATTAGAAATACGCTAATATCATTACAGTAATCATTTCGCCGAACTTCCGGAACGCGGAAGTTTGTCGTCTGCTTCACAGCCCGTTTTATACCAGATATTTAGGGCATTTCGCAGCACATACAAGTTGTTTTTATCGACAGAATTCATTCATAGATCTCAAATTTCATGTACAGAGTGTCAAAAGCCACACCTCTGCCCCCCTTTAAGTAGGTTTTAATTTCTAAACCTTGCTGTAAGAGTGGAATGGTAAACATACGAGAACCTTTACAATGACTGACTTGTACTACCAAAAATGATAAAATTGAAAGATTTGTGATGGTTAACTTAACTTAAATTAATTAAAGTTTAAATTTATTGTATGCTTTGTACTTTGCTCAAGGAAAATTAGATGCAAATTAGCTGAAAACATCCATTTGAAATTGTAATACCGGTAGCCCAGTTGTTGGAGGACCTACCTTCTATGGTCAATGTGGTAGGTTTCAAAGCCTATCATAGCCAACTTTTTCAATAGTTACCATAATTTGCTCCATTAGAACCACATATAAACTGAAAGTTGCATTTATTGTATACTGATTTATTAATTACCGTTTACATAAGTGCATGCACTAATTTTTGGTATCATATTTCCTGTTAGCATATTATGCCCTTCTTTTTTCATCACCTACCACTAGCTTTTAAACATTATATTGCCCTTTATATCTGTGATTAAATACTTAAGCAAAGTAGAATAATAATGATTCAAAGGCATGTTTGATAGCCAGTTTTCTCAAATATTAATTTAATCATTCTACAACATCTGTATTAATGCTGCTAGTTACACACCATGTTTGTATGTATACCCGGTATATATACACAGTGACATGTGAGTAAATTGTCACATTTTATTTAATCATAGGGAGGGGTAGGGAATAAAAAACATTAGCAACATATACATGTACTAAAGAAAATACAATTTTATTTGAACATATTACAATTCCTGCAACTATTTATTTTACTACGAATATTTTCAAGTGAAGTTGAATTTGTACCGGTCACGTAATTTACAAGTACTGAATAAATGAACAGCTACGGTATTTGCAACATATCTGCCTTGCCGAACGCCATGAGCAGTTCTGTGGATTCGGTTGTGATTGAGTTTTCAGCATATTAAGGTATGTAAAGTCGAGTTGAAAGGGCTTTCAACTAAACTTTGCCAACAATTTTAATACATGACAACCATTTTCATTGTACAAAATAACAGCATAATGTTTATAGTAGTATACACATTATTTATTACTAACAAAATGGAACAAACACTGGATATGGTATAATATCGGGTATATACAAAGGAAATAGAATAGCCATCCAAAGTACATTGGACAAAGTGACTGAAAGCATTTCCTACAATTGGAATCTCTAAATATCAAATCGTCTTTGTTCAGTCAAAAATTACAATAAAAATACAAAGTTTGAAAGTGTTTGTATCAAATCTGTCCCTCTATGGTACGTGATGTGTTTAATCCCAACATGGCTACTGTACACCTTTGTGAACTTGCGGAGGGATTCATAAGCAAATAAATAACCAAACTTGTATGGTTATGGCAGAAACAAGAATACATTGAATGTTAAAATGGTTTCTTTATTTTACTTTCTGTACAATTTATGAAAAACATTGTTTTACAAAATATTGTTTTCTTCCTGGTGGTGGTGTTATTGATGTATGCATTTAAGCTACTGGTTGGTATTGTTCTACTCTCTCCAAAAGCTGTTCTGAGTATCCTGGTGAGTAGTACCTGTAGTAAAAATATAAGAAATAAACCAGGTAAAATCGAATTCTGGATCTAACCAGTAATCAAATACAGATTGACCGCTGCTTATCAAGTACCGGTACAATAAGGTTACTAAAAGTGCACTGAATAGATGCCCATTTTGGGTTGGATTTTTAAACTTTGTGAACGCATCGTTCATGTAAGCACATGCACTTTTAACGCAAATACACAAAGACACTAACTGCAGCTGTATTCACAGACATGACATTGTGAAATTTTTTTCGCGAAAATATTTGTTTTTTGCAAACCGGAAAAAACGGGTATGGTTGTGCCATTACTAGAGATAAGATTCCAAGGAAAAATAAATTGTGATTCGGAATTAGCTCTACAGTTGGAGTTATAAAACAGTTGATTCATATGCATAGCCCCATTACAAGATTATACATGTGTTCACGGACATTACCTGCAGCATGTCCAGTGTATGGAGTTATATTACTTCAATGCATTTGTTGACTCACCTGACAATTTCTTCTGGATAGCAGTTGTTGATTGTGTTAATATATTCATGAAGTGCACTACCAGGTTCTGCTTTGATCTCTTGCACCTTCTTGAGACCACCACTTGTAACAAATAGTCTTCTGGCTTTAGCATCATGTGGTAACACTTTACTGAACTGACCAACAACGTGTTTAAGAATGTTGGCTGGAGCATCATGTAGTAAAGGTTCTAAAGCTGGTAGGTGTACACATTTCTGTAGGATATTCTTCAAAGCTTTCTTTGACTGTAATTCACAAACAAATGCAAATGAGTGAATTTACATAAAATGAAAATTTTCTAAAGATTACAAGGTTGAGGTTGAGACTAGAACAGGGTTGAAAACTTCACAGATTACATCTCTTGGTTGATCAGATTTTCACAGGAGGCATGTTACAAAATTCTGTTTTGGTTTCTGATTATTTTACCTATGCTGATAAACCGAGTTGTGGTATAAATGAAAAAGAAATGTGCCGCAAGTCATTAAACTGATATTAGAGACACTGTTTGAAAGTAATCATGGGTAAAATAAAGTGACATATCGTACAAATTGAAGGCTTTGGGCACTGTCTATTTTAAGGCTATGTTAACTAATTTCAGGTTTTTAATCAAAATGATTTTGCCAAAGTAATATCTTTGCAATCTAAAATCACCCGACTAGCCTGTAGGCGTGTCAATATTACCTTGGTCTGCAAATCTTCTGAAGCATCAGCACGTAGATAACACTGTAATAACTTTGGCAAGACATTAGCAACAGCTACTGCTTTAGCATGCTCTGGTGTGTGGCGTCCAATTTGTCCCAATGCCCAGGCTGCTGCTGCCTGGATGTGGTCTTCAGGCTCCTCCGCCAAAGTTATAGCTAACTGTGTCACACCCTGTAAAAAACCAAGTAAAGGGGGTGTGAAGTAATGAAAGATCCAGCAATATTGCAAACTTCATGCACAAACCATGAAATTGCACAGTCCTTTTCATTTTAAGACTGAAAGCGAAAATTTGGGGTGCATTGAATCATCATTCCTTTTTTTTGATTTGAATATTTTATTCCTATTTCACTGCACGTTTAAAATCACTGATTTAGTATCATCCTACTGATGCAAGACATAAAATAGTTTCGCTGTCTCATTTGGGGGTGGCCAAATGATCGATGTGCTGCATCTTGTAGCTTGGGAATTGGTACATGTCAGTTTGAGCCATGCCTTCATTTCATTTTACATAAATTAACATAGTATTTACTTTGCTATGTGTTATTTCATAAAATAAAGACTAACCTTAGAGACAATAACAGCCATGGCTAGGTTTTCTGAATGAGCAGCTACATAACCGAGCATCATGACTCCTGGTAAGCGTACATTGCCTTTAGATTCTCCCACATAGTCAACGACAGCAGCCACACCACCTGCATTCACCACCAATTGCGCCAATTCAGGGGTGTGTTTCACAATCTCACGAATAAGTGTTGCAGTGTTCTTACGAACGTATTCATCTATATCCTTTAGGCAAGTCAATACAGCAGGGAATATCTCAGCTTCTACGACCATTTCAGCCAAATCAACAGAGTGCTTGGCAATCTGACTTAGTGCAGAGAATACCTGTCTCTGTAAAGTTGTGGAGAGAAAAAACAAAATTAGAAACATGGTCCTTCTTGAAAACAAACATATAGCAATACGAAAATGCAATAATAATATAAAACAAATAGTATCAAATAGACAAATAGTATTTTGCATTTTTGCCAACTGTTCAGTGCATTTCTAGCTGCTTATTTCTGATTTTACTATTCCACTTTGTTTAGAATGACTTAAAAGTAAGATATAGAGTAGACCAACCTTTAGTTTAGCATCAGGATTAAGAATCATCTGTGCTAAGTGGGCAATGGCTCCAGCATCGACAACAGTCTGTGCTAACTCAGGTGAATGTTTACAAATATCACTGAGTGCTGATGCGGAAATACGTTTCAAAGATAATTCTGGTTCCTGGATACACAACACTAGCAGAGGTACTGCACCAGCATCAACCACAGACTGAGACAACTCTGAAATGGTAAATTAATACTACAGTTAGTGTTGTACTCTATGATGTTTCAGTGTGTAACACAGTCTACTTTATGAGCAACAATAACACAAAAACAAATAAATGGAAATACAAATCATAGCAGAAAGAAAATACCAAATTGTATGATAGTAATTTATGTAACTACACACACAATATGAACCTGCTAGTATTCAAAGATAGTTTCAGTAACAAAATTATACATATCACATACACATTTTATATTTGTAGTTCTCTAAGGCCAAATAAAACAAATTTGGTGATTTTTTTTGCAATTTGCAAAAACAAAGACTGGGTAGGTGGACACATTTAATTCTCCTCAATAAGCTCTTAGATTATACTTAAACATAACATAATCATGGTTTAACTACAGAAGGGAAGAATGAAAAAAATATGATAAATTTCCTTTATACATCCAAGACACTACATGTACATAGAAAAAAGTAAATGAAATTTTGCAATATTGATGGAGTGGCCATAGCTAATGCATAGAAATAAACAAATTTAAAAAATAAAATAAAACTATTCAATGTTTCCCAAAATATGGGTAGGTAGTGTTATTTAGTGTTATCCTAATATAATGCATAGTAGTGGTAATACTAGTAGCCAGGATATTAAGTCACATATTTTAACCCAACTTCAACAATATTTTATAATTCCAAGTAATATGCTGTAAAAAGGTATATACTCAGTAATACCAAATTTGTATTTGTTTGTGCTTGTGGAAAACATCAATACCTGCATTATGTCTTGCAATGTATCCTAAAGCCCAAGCAGCTGCCTCCTTAACACCAGGATCAAACTCTTCTAAACAGATAACCAATGCATCCAGAGCACCACAATCAACAACAGACTGAGCTAGCTGTGGTGAATGTTTAGCAACAGCTCTCAATACAAACGCAGCGGCCTTCTTATAGAATCTCTGCAATTAAAGTGAACACAGCATAAGAAAAATGTATAACCTGAGTAAACAGTCATAGAAATGAACTGATTGTCAGTACATTCTATTAATTTATCAACTTACATTTTGTTCAGCTAACGAATAGACTAACTGTGGCAGGATATCTCCTTTGACAACAGCTTCGGCGAGATCATCATTATAGTTAGCCAAACGTCCAAGAGCCAATGCTGCGGTTTGTTGTATTGTTGGTACAATATCCAAAAGTAAAGGACGCAACAAGGACATCACACCTGAGAACAAAAATTTGGTTATTAAATATGTTTTTATCAATTTTTTTTAGGTATCACAAGTATTACTCTGATAATTTCTAAAATGATCTCAACAAGATTACTGGTGCATATTGTTTGGATATAGCATAATTATCAATATTTATTTTTTAATAAACAGATTGCTACCATATTTGTGTAGAGAATCCTTGCGGCATGATCATGAAAGAGGATTTATCAACTAAAACTACATGTGAGCCAACCCACACCATGATTTCCCAAAGTTTCACTCATTATTGTTTATAGTCACGAAAGCAGAATTTGATCTTGCGATAATCATATTAATGTAAGTACTGTTATGATAAGTTGAGGTGCAGATATTCTGTTAAATTCTGTTGATAATAAAGTGCAATAAGTGCAAACATAATCCAGTGAAAATACTTTTCGCCTGACACTGACAGTTCGAAAGTGATTTGAATTAAATCAATGAAATATAAAAATATTAATTTCAACAAAATTAAAGTAATATGTACATACATATGTATATGTACAGTACTATGATTATGACTAGTAAACTTGGTACGAATAGAACCTAAACTGCCATAGTGTGAACATGGAAGTAATTTACCTCCATGGTGTGAAGGACGGAGTGTATGGTACACTATAACTTAAACCTAATCAATTATTAGCAAAAAAATGATTTGATGTAGTATAATATTATAACATAAATTATCAGATTTAAAGTGTTTAATATTATACTGCATTGATGATGACTATAATTAATATTTTAGACTTACCGGCATTTTGCAATATCTCAATGTTTTGCGGCCGTGACGACAACTCGGCTATAGTTTGGACAAACTGTGTACGAGACTTCTGATACTGTTCAAAAACTGAAATATAATCAGACAAGTTATATATATCAGTAATCTAGCATGGATAAATAATATTTTAGCACATCGTTACAGTTTTATATGTTTGTATACATGTAAACACAGGCATTGGATCAGATACCTACAGCAGTTTGGCAGGGATAGCCATGGTGATGACACAAGGACAGGCAAACATTACCAACAGTTTCTTCTAAATTATATACGTACTAAGTGTTTAAATTTACTGAATACCAACGAAGAAGATATAATATGTAGTGACTAGTGTTATTGTAGCAACATAACATACACTGATTAGAATACGTAGGCTGGTCAACGCTTCAACGACCAAGTACTGGCTAAAATTTACTTGTGTTCTAAAATTTACTTGTGTTGCATACAGTTGTGTCCCTTACAAACGATAGTTACTAACCTTGTAAAACTTGTCTTGAACTCATCTTGCTTCGTTGTGTATTCTCCTTGCGAGATTATATGAAACAAGGTGCCTATATGCAACCGAAGTTATTCCAAATCAAAGAACGCGGATGGCACTCACAACAAATGTATGACTGACCAGTTTCTGTTTTGTTGCTAGGGCCAACTCAGGAAATACCTATTGCGCATGCCCGGTAAGAGAATGATGGGAAATTTTGTATGCGATATGCGAGGCTTTTTCCCACCGCAATTGTTATTCTTTACATTTCATATTTCAAAATTATCTGTATTTAGAAAAAGAATCATGTGAGAGACAGAAATACATTGAATTCAGTGGTTGTCAATGACAGGCACCGCAAGACGACTCGAACGGTCGACTCAAACAAACGTTATAGAGGGCGCTGTCATCAATAGAATAGTGTAAGGGTTGACAATTACAAATTGTGGGAGAGGGCTGGTAGATGTTGAAAACCTGCACAGAGAACATTTTCAGCATATTCCAGCACTGAACATCTGTGTATTAATTTATTTCAAGGGACTACAATGCCTAATTACAGGGTCCATGAAAATCAATGTAATATTAATATACAAAATGGATATAAGCAACAAAAAATGAGAAAAAAAAACAATAAAACAAACAATTTACATTAAAAGTACCGAAGATTAATTCTTAAAAATTGCCTTTGACACTCAATTTGAAACTGCTTGATGTACTAAAAATATCGATTTCCGAAAAAGACAAAGTTAAATTAATAAAATTACCTATACATCTGTGAGTGTTGGTGAATATTTATTTAAATTAATACGATTACGAATTGGGTAGAATAAAGAGACGGAGAAAGAAATTTTACTTACATAATTTGAGTCTTACATTATATTGACCCATGTGTACGTAATCATGGTGTCCAAGTAAATAAGAAGAATAAGTCACTATCATACTGAATATGTGATTTGTAGCACAAATATTTTACAATTTTGCGTTGCATTCGTTCCCCTCTCAGTCTCAAACCTTTCATTCTGTCACTACTAGTTACTAGTACTAGTATTGAAACAATATTTTAAATAAGTTTATGAGTTGGTACAGGACCGATGAGTATGCAATGCCAACGTTGTCAGCGAATTACTAGTAGCGACTCTAACTCCAAACTCGCTATTCGTAATGAACTAGAAGACTGCTCAGATTTTATGGCCGAAGGGAACGGCAAAATCTAAAGGAGTCACTTTTAATTTCAATAATGAAGGAAGGAAGGAACATCTTATTCTTTAGTCTGGCATTGGTTACAGGTATTCATTAATGTTTTTCACAAAGCACTTTATTGACTAATTGTCAATAAAGTGTTTCAACAGGTCAAATCATGAAATGATTGTAAAATGATAACAATGCACATAGTACGAATGTGACATGATAGAGGGACAAGAGACCAAGGGAGCTCGGATATTAAATGTGAACCATTAAATTGATCAATTAAAACAGAAACAAATTAAATAATTGGAATGCCAGTGGCGGCGGCACAGGGAAGGGGGTCCAAAATCAAGCTGAAACCCTTTGTGTCAGCAGAATTTGCCCCTCAAAAATATGGTGATAGCGTTTCAGCAGGTCTAGATTTCAAATTTTTTAAGGAGGAGCATGCCCCGGACCCCCTAGAATATAGTAAGGTCGCGCCTTCGGCCCGAAAGATGATTGAGCAGACCTTCCTCCATGCAACATTTTGTGCCGCCACCTATGAATGCCGATCTTCGTTTGGAAACACATCATGTTTAGCTTGTCTATGAAACACTGTAATTTCTGTAAAGGTTGCCTCCCGTCTGTTTCTTCTTTCTTCCTGTTCCTCTTTTTAGCACCTGCAGCAATTTTGCTGAATACTTGATTTATCTTGAAAAGTATATTATCTGTTCAGCTATGAAATCATCAGCTTACTCATTCAGAACACACAGACTTGACATCGAAGTGCTTTTTGTTTTGTTGCTCAGAAGATATAAAGTATTGTTAAGAAGAATCCAACGATTTTGGTCGAATAGAGACGAATGTTAAAAGAAAATGGAGACGAGAATTGAATGAAAAAAGTAAAGACGCGAGGGTATTATTGATATACATGCAATGCATAAGCCATTTATGTTGGGTGGGTGAAACGATACCTATCTCCTAAATTTCACCCTTGGAAATTATTTTTACCAATTACCTGGAATATGTGCGAGGAAATTTCATTTTTAAATGTAATTTTTCAGTTGACTTCATTCTATTACACTTTACTAAAACAGTGGAGTGAAGTTGAGCCTAATAAAACATCTCATATGAATATGAAATCATATGGAATAACAAAAACATCCGCATTCAAAATAAAAGTATCTTTTACGGAGTGTTTTTTAATGCAGGAATAATTTATATTGCAGATATATTTGACAAAAATGGGAAAATTAAAAATTGGGCTTAGTAATCTTCAAGCACTAGGGCTCAATTATGTTCAGCTACTTCAGTGGTATGGCATTATCTCTGCACTGAGAGTCTAGTGCATCTTTTTGTTGAATGCGAGTCTATTAAAGTCCTCTGGACATCAATTTTTAATCTATGGGGAACAAAACTAGGATGCCCAAGAACATTGTCAGCAAAACAGATTATATTAGGAGACAAGTTCTTCTCCCCTCTACTAAAACATATAATTATAAGTGTTAAAAGAATAATCTATACGTGTAAATTAAAAAAGGAACTACCATGCTTTATTCTCATAAAATCTGATATACGTTACACGCAAAAGATAGAGTTAGAAATTTCAAAAAGAAGACATACAATGTCCATTTTCCTGGACAAGTGGGGAGACTTTATTTGTTAATGGGTTCCAATACCTAACTGGTAACGGGTATGCAGTGTTTATATTGTATGGGTTATATTAGCTGTAACATTTGTTGTATCTTGACATTGTGCTGTAACCTAATTTCTAGTGTATGCAATGAAGAAGAATAGGTGAAAAAAAAGACGCGAGAGAAAATACAGTGCGGAAGTCAGAATTAAACACTGCGAATTGAGTCTAACAAAATGAGTTTTATGAAAGTGGCGTGTGCATGCACTAGGGACCTGGTATTTTCAAATGCTGACAATTGTTTTTTTTGTTGGACTTTCAAATAACCATGCAGTCTCATCGAATAACAATTTCCCAACAAATCAAGAAATTGCTCCATTGACTTCCTTTTTTGTTTAATAAAATACCCAATAGTTCTCTATTCTACTTGGTTTTGCAGTGAATCTACACTATCTATGAAAAATGTCAGTCATACAAAATATTTCTATTATGACTAAAATATCTTCTGCTTTTTATCTTGTCTTATGTGACAGAAGAACATTTGCTTGTGTTATAATTTTGAAGATATACTGATATAATGTCACCTCAGATATTAAATACTGTAGTTAGCTCGCAGAGAAAAATATAATACCCGTGTCAAACTTTATGCACTAAACTGATTTTCATGTCTATGGTTATGTGTTGGAAAAAGAGTCCCATATGATTTCTTATCTTACTGCTGAAGTGGGTCACAATGTTTTTAGTTAATGATCGAGGTATTATTTTTGGCACAACCTTATGAAGGTTCTGCCAGCCGACCGCCGGTAATACATACCATGTCTAATACCAGTGTTATCGCTGGGCTTGACATTTTATTTTACTCAGTGGAACAGTTGTCTGGATTACCGGGGTCTCGTAATCCAGAGCTTGAAAAAAAGGTGAATATCAGCAGACTAAACATATAGCAATCTTATCATATGAAGTTGTGTTGTATTTCGACTTCGGTGTCATAGAAATCAGCTGATAAACTATAGCACCGTCCATCAACACAGTGCCGAGGGCCGGTGACTATGGTAACGAGTGATGATAAAGAGCTGTGAATAAAAATAAAAAGATGATTTTATTTTTTAAATTATTTATTACAATTTTTTATAATATATTTCAACTCCCTGTGCCAACATACCATTTACGCGACGCAAGAAGTCCGTCGCTAGACTCGGTTCAGTCTCATGTCTCTCAGTACGCTTATGTGAATCAGCCTCAGACGCCCTTTATAAACTACCTTTATATGCTGTATTTTGGTGGTATCGTCACACGGCTTGTCTCCGTGTATAATAACAAATATCACTGAGAGCAGTATAACAAACAGGAACGGCAACGTTATGCGCGATGAGCACATACTAGTACTTGAAATAAAGTCTACTTCATCGCTTGGGGGCGCGATCTATAGTAGGTGTATTCTGTTACCCCAGCTGCCTCCGTGGTATTTGGTTTCCTACCATAGACTATTGCCAAAAACCCGTATGGCTAAATTCGAAAACGACAAAATGTAGAAGATTGTATTTCATTTATATTATCCCAATAACGTCGACTGTAGGTAAAAAACAAAGGCAAACTACCATGTACCTAATAATATGACATTTATCATATAAGTATCATTTGATAACAACACTGGTTGGTATGTGTGTACTATAGCGCTTATAATAAACAAGATACACATTGTATTTTTGCTGTCTCAAAATTGTCCATTATCAGTTTTGTCCAGTAAAAATAAGAAATCAAACTACATGTATCTCCGGACTAGTCAATAACATTTAAATAATCATGAATTATTTATTCAGAAATATTCAACCACTAGGTTTTTAGACATTATTTTTTGGTTAGTTAGGGTGTGTGATTTTTAGGAGATCACGCACCCGGCAATATATAATCCACTGGAAATAATAGACTTTGGCTTTCTTATTTCTCCAGATAACTCTTTGCCCATTTGCTTGAGTTAAATTATGAAGTTTTACGTCACAGTTTGCATGTGTGAATAAATAAAAGATAATTTATTATACCTAGCCTGACAAGGTCACGTGAGTTGTCGTTCGGCCGGTGAAGGCGCTACTGACGCCTACGTGTCAGGCTATATTATACCCAGTTAGTTTTATTGGTTCTATTTGTAATAGAAATTTCGAACCCAATGTATAATTGGCGTGTCATCTGTGTATGACATTTATCGTAGGTTCTACAATTATCCCAAAGAACCATGGCTCCACATACGGAGCCGTCACCACGGATACAGTGTCGCATACATCTCTACACATCATTGGCCACTGCATTTCAATTATTTATGACATGTTAAATAAGTTATTTTAAGTACGTGAATATTTTTTATGA